AAAGGCACTCAACACACGTAAATTATAACTTCAAGTTTTGGGAAATCGAACAAATATTAAAATTATAATTTAATATGAACTAGTGTTTTTTTTGTAAAAAGCATCAGTTAGATGTTAGGTGGTTGCAATAAGCATTTTAAGTGTTAAGGAGATTAGATAGGCATCATGATCTCTTACTCATTATGGTTCCCTTCGAGCCATCCTCTTGGCAATCCATTATTGAATCCACCCTATTGAACAGTAACTGCCTTTAATAAATAGTAACTACCATTAATGAACAGTAATTACCTTTTGCATCTCCACCCTTGGAACCCTCCCCCCTGGCAATAGGTAATAAAATAGTAGTTTTTTTTGTTTGTTTAAATAATATAAAATAAAAAAAACAGGGAAATGAGGCTATAGGGCCTCGGGCTGACACAAAAAACAATAAAAAAATGCCTTGGCCCTCGGGCTGCAGGCCTGTCAACTATCCACCCCCTTGTGCTCGGGCTCCCACTCTCACTCGGGCCCTCCATGGCTGGAGAAGAATCAACAGGCCCTCGTGCCCCTTCCTGCAGCCCGTCCCCCGTCCAAAAACGAAGGCTGGAGTTGCTCTTATAATTCTCCACTTTCTCTCTTTCTTTCTAAAGTAGGATGCATGTGGGGGTTAGGGAACTAAAGGGGATTAAGGAGTTCAAATTCTAAAAGCATCCATCCCTTGTACTCAAATATGTGACTTCAAAATACAGAAAAAAATTGGGAACTTTAACGAAAAGCACCCAGTACTGTTCACTTTAACGAAAAACCACATTTTTACACTAAAAAGTCAATCCTGGTACTATGCACTTTACTTTTTATTTTGTCCTTATCATTAAAACTCAAAGTTTTCAAACCCTTTTCATTAGTTTTCCTAAAAAAATTAGGTAACATATGTAAAGGTTTGTTTGTAAGTGTTTTTAAAATAGCTAGAAGTATTTTTTGTGAAAATATTTTTGTAATCAATTTTTAGTAAAAATACAAATAAATCTTGAAGAAGTACATAATTGGTATTTATTGCAGAAAGTACTTCAAATATTTTTCTTTTAAAAACACTTTCAATCATTTTACAAGCCATTCTAAACAAATTCCAATATATTCACCAGTCACTCAACATAATACAGGTTTCGTTTCCCTGTCATCAAAAAGCAAAATTTTTGTTCGGTTACGTTTGACCACCCTTTAACTATTTAGAAAATCTTACTTGGTCAAACCTGTAGTAAACTAACCACTTGGTATAAATTTAGCACTCCATTTGTGGAAAAACTAATCATTCTTTAGCAACCCCTTTATTTCGACCTTCTCCTTCTATTTTTTTGGATTGGGATCCTCTCCTAAGCCAATGGAGAGGATTCTCCTGACCAAACATTGTAGGTCATTGGATTTTCATCAAACAACTATAATTATTATAACTTTAAAGGGATCTTCCTATTTATAGTCGTTGAATAAAAATTCAACGGCCCACAATGCTTAGTTAGGAGGATCCTCTCCATTGGCTCAAAAGAGGATCCAATTCCGATAGTTTTTACTCCTTTTTAATCTTGTATTGTTACTTGATATCCAAAATATTGGAATTGGATCCTCTCCTGAGCCCAAGGAGATGATCCTCTTGACTAAGGATCTTGGACTGTTGGATTTTTATCCAATAGCTACAAATAAGAGGTCTCTTTAAAATTATAATAATTATAATCGTTGGATGAAAATCCAATAATTCAAGATCCTTGGTCAAGAGAATCTTCTCCTTGAGCTCAGGAGAGGATCTAATCCCAAAATATCTACTTTTAGGTTACTCTTAATCATTTTTTTTCCATAAAAAAACTAACTAAATTAAAAACTGTTTAGTCATGGAGCGGTTATTTGGAGGCTGCATTTATACATTTCATGACGTGGAAAAACTATCAAAAATTGTAAAAGTTCATAAATAAATGCTTAAAGGTTCATCTCAAGACTAATATTTACAGCTCCATGTGTCTAGCAGGTAGCGATCTATTAGTTTTATAGAGGATCGACTTAGATTAAAAGTAACGAACTTTAACGAAAATATTCTGGTATTGTTCATTTTAACTAAAAACCATATTTTACACTAAAAAGTTAATTATGATACTATTCACTTTACCTTTTATTTTGTTCTTATTGTTAAAACTCAAAGTTTTCAAACCATTTTCATTAGTTTTCCTTTAAAAGTATGGCTGTCTTCTTTAATCTTACTATTTATCATCCATTTTTTTCTTTAAAATATCTTCAATATGATGAATAGCCTTATCCAAATCAATTCTTTCTATCAAACGTGTGATATCAATCTTGTTAACTACCTTTTATTTACAGTAACCTAGCTATGAAGTTTAAGTTTTAAGCATATGTGTGTCTGTGTGTGTAGTGTGTGTAAACGGATTTGTGACATCACTTTTTTACACAATTTTTGATACACGTTTTTGTAGAGTCTACTCCGTAATATATATACTCATTACCTTTATTATAACATGTCAATTAATTAAATATTGAGTAATGCTAGAGACACCAAATTTGTAGACTAAATTAGCAAACCAAATGAGGTGCCACCAATAAAAAATGAGCACGTTTATCAACGATTAAGTAATAATCTAATTATCAACTTCCATATTATTTCGTTTACAAAATTTAGTTTACAAATTGAGTCTCTCTAGCATTACGTAACATTGTAAGACCCTAAAATATTTCTCCACCTCAAACCATATAGACCATTATGCATCAAACTAATGAAGTGGAACAACTATGACTGCTAAACTAACTCTCACTAAAACGTTAATTAAAGCAAGTAATTGTAGCTATGTAGTTTTTTTTTTTTGTCAACTAAAGGCAGGGTCCTTTATTAATTGAGAAAATTACAACCCCCTACAACTTTTTTATATCTTTTAAACTAAACATTTGTGTCTTTTTAAAATTTGATTAAAGTGTTTTGACCAATAGACACCTCACAATTTTCTGTTAAATTAAATTACATATCATTATCGTATTTTCTTAAAATAAAATGTTAATTATTAATTCTAAATTTATCCTCTTAAGTTTTTAATGCGTTTTCCCCTTATTTAATGGAGTATTAGTTATTAACTCTATTATCCCTTTTTCCAATTATAATTTTTCGCTCAAAATATTTTTTTTGTTCTTCAAACATTAATATTATTTATTTTTGTCAAATGGTTGGCTATCCAATAAAGCACTGTGTAATTTTTCCCCTTTTTTTTGTCAAACTATTTTTCTTTGTTTTTTATTTTTTATTTTTTATTTTTACTTATAGTTGTTGACAAACTATTATTAGGTACACCATATTATGTGTATACTGCCGTTAGGTATGTTTTAATTTGTAAAAAACATTGATTGGTACGTTTATTTGCAGTTTTGGTACGTTTGATTTGGTACATATTGTTGATATTGATACATTACTTTTGATTTTGGTACGTTTATATGTTGTTAGTCCTATTTTCTCTTAATGTATTGATATAAAAAATTATATTGGTACATTTGATTTCGTGAGATTTAAAAATATTTTCAACCATTTTGGGAATAAAATATTAAATCGTAGATAATCATTGCTAAATTGTAGGAAGTATTGTGAAAATAAATTGTATTTAACTAGGGTTTTTTTGTTTACAATTATCTCCAAAGGGGGAGAAGGTAATCAAAATGCTAGATTATAGGAAGTTTGGTTCAATACTGTGCACTTTTTTGGCGTGAGATTAAGAAATATGGAGTAGTGGCAGTTCATGTAATTTTGGTATAAAAAATGATTAATTCTAATATATGTGGCAACAAAATGATGAGAAGAAAGTTTAATCAAATCTCTAAAAGGCATAGATGCTTAGTCTATAAAATTCAAAAATAAGGCACTTATATCAAATCTTCCCTTATTAATTACACAACAAAAATTTACAAACCAAAAAGAACCAGCCCAAAAACATAGAAAAAGCCCAACCAAAGTTTGAGCCCAAACCAGAAAAAACCAAGAACAACCTAGATCTCTGCTGCAGCCATTTCCACACCAGAAAATCCCGTCCAGCAGCTTGCTTCCATGCTTTTGACGAAGCATCCCCACTCCGGTCGCCTCCATCAGCTGAGAACAGCTCTTCAATTGCAACCACAAGCTGGAAAAACCAGCCATGAAGCCTGTGGAGATCCACATGCAACCCTGCCAAAGGAAGAGAGAGAAGGTGGTGGTGTAGATAACACTCAAACCAGTGAGAACACAAAAATTTGATACACCGACTCCATAAATCGTGACGAATCGCGATGAAAAGTGGCTACATATGAAATTGGAAATGACCCAGAAAAAGGGATGCCAAAGAACTGTGGAGAACTGACTAGAAAGGGATTGGTAGGAAAGGGAAAACGCAGCAGAAAATCACAAAGGAAAAACATAACGAACAAAGAACAAACTGCCACCGACCCCAGCCAGAGCTAGGATCGGCGACAACGAAAAATGACTAAATTGCAAACACTCACACGAGACGGTAAGAAAGGCTCTCAAGCAGAGAGATAGGAAAGGAAAGTTTCCCCTTGCTGTTTGGGTCGAGAGAAAGTGACCCTCTCCTTACTTTGTTACATTGTAGCTATGTAGTTACGTACATTAATTTTTCAGTGTCGTCTGAATTGTTTGAATACCATTCGATATTGTCTTCTTAAATTTTTGAAAAGTAAAATTTGAGCTAAGACATAGTGAAATTGCTGACACTCTTCACGCAGCCAAACTCAGAGAGGATAAGAGCCGAGACCCGGAGAGAGCACTGATTATACTAGAGTTGTTATAGGACCATGCCAGTACTGATGTCACTCTGATCATTCACTATATGCCAAGTACGAGTCTTTGTAACGCAAACAAGTGTTACGTCTCTGTGCATTGCATGCATGAACGTGTTGCTTCTTGATTGGCCTGATTTCATCACTCACTCTCTCTCTCTCTCTCTCTCTCTCTCTAGAAAACCAATCCAAATCATCTAAATACAATCCAGACATCCCTTCTTTATGAGAAGTCCAAGCCATAGCCATATTATTTCAAAGTTTGTGTGCCCACATTCAACAAATCTATTACTTTTGAGCCTTTTTCTTAAGATCTGTCCTTGAATTATTCTTTCTTGGGGTTTCAAGAACAATCTTGATCTTTCGACATCCAGTTCTATTGATGCAATAACAATGCCGGCTGATGAGAATAAGGAGCCCAAACCCATCCCTCTTTGGTATGTTATTATTATTTTTGTGTATTTTTTTTGTTCTGTAATATATTTTGATGGGAATTCTCATCTATCTCAATTCAACTGCTATATCTTGTGTCACTTTTTCGAAGTTGCAACTTTGTAAAATTGGAAGCCATAAATAAAATTTCAAATTGGGTGTTATTACCCAATTTTTAAGGATTCCCTTAGCTACTATATTAACTTCTGGCCTTCTGGACTTTCTGAATTCGAAGAAATATAAGGTGCTGAGGTGTTTTCAGTCTGACTGATTGTTATGGGTTTAGGCAAAAACTTTTAAGAATTTAGAAACTGGTATATATAAAGCTTGAATCAGGTTATAGCACTAATTTGGTAAAACAAGAACTTTTAGATGGTTCATGATTTCATCAGAGATTGGATTATTTCCTCTTTAGGATCCCAATTGTAATTTTCAATTAACCTGTTTTGCTAATGCAGTTTGTCTATTGATCAAGCCCTTTCAACCACTTGCATTGCTTTGTTTCTATCTTTTTAGTTAATTTGTTCGACAATGTTTGTATCCCAAGCATCCTTAATTTGAGAATGCATGCATCAACTTGGGACACATTTTTTTTCCGATGAAAAAGCTTCATATTCGGGTTTCTTTGCTTCTATATGTTGCTTAATACTACAGAGCTGTGCAACAGTCTAACAGTAACGTATATGCTTCTTGTCCTTGTAATGGATACTCCCAATCCCCCCTATGTGTATGGTTTACTATTACCAGGCTTGATAAAGTGAAGGGTACTCTACCTCGTCGAGAAGATGAATTAGCCAAGGCTATAAAAAAGAACATTGGAAGGAAGAATACGACCGAAAGCAAACCAACTAAAAATGCCAGTAGTTCCAAGAATACTTGCATATGCGCTCCAACAAAACACGAGGGCTCGTTTAGGTGCCACCTCCATCGAACAAGCTTGGTAGCACAAAATACAAACAAGTCAAACTTGAATGCCAAGAATGGTCATCATGATGTGGTTGAAAAACACGCAAGGCTATCAAGATTCGGCAGGGCTGCCTCTGCAAGAAATTGCCATGGAAACCTTTCTTTTGTTGGAGCATAAGCATGGCAGCTGGATCAAGCATTCAAGGTTGCTGCAATGTGAAAGAAGAAGAAGCTCAAAAATGTCTAAGTGTTGTTCTTAGCTAAGTTTATATATGTGTAATAAACGGTCAAGATTATATCATTCAATGGTGTATAACTTGACACGTGTCCAGTTTGTTATATGTTAAGTGAATCCATGTGAGTTGCACATAATCATAGTCGCTTTAGTGGATTGGCAACGGCTATTTAGCTGGTTTGTAGCCGAGTTTCATGGATCGAATCCAATGTAGATTCGAGGAGCAACGTACTCCTTCTTCCCCAAAGTTCATCTCTTATATTCAATCTTTGAATACATTTCAATTACTTGTTGAATTGATTACAAATACATAGAGAAATTTAGCTCAAAAGTAGCTCAAACACTAAAATGGTCTTAGAGCCGCGTTGGATTTGAATCTGGGAGTGAATCTGTAAGTGTTCATCTGGGCTTTCAACAAAGAACTCAGAAGCATAAAAATGGTTGGATGTAGCACCGATCTTCGTGCGCCAGTATTCATGGGAGTCAATTATGAATTCTGGTGTATAATGAAAACAATATTCAAGTCTCACAATTTGTGGAGCTTTGTTGAAGATGGCTTCACATTATCGAAGGAATGGAAGGAGACGGATGAGAAGCAAATTCTTATTGATCAGGATCTCATCTCCAGAGATGCAAGGGCGTTGGGATTGATACAAGGAGTTGTGAGTGATGAGATCTTTCCTAGAATCGCAAATCAAGAGACTACAAAGGATGCTTGGGATGTTCTTAAGCAAGAATTCAAGGGTGATGCTCAGGTCATGGCTGTGAAATTATAAGGTATTCGCCATGATTTTGAATATGCTAGGATGAGAAATAATGAATCTTTGTCTGATTATCTAGCTAGATTATCTAGTCTTGTGAATAAGATGAAGATGTTTGGTGAAACCTTGCCAAATAAGAGACTAGTTGAGAAAATGTTAATTAATCTAACTCCTGCATATGATAATATTGTTTTTGTCATTGAAGGAACTAAGAAATTGGATGAGATTGATCCAAATGAGGTTGTTGCAACTCTGAAAGGATTTGAGCAGAGGTTGAAAAGGCATACTGAAGATGAGGAAGTGAGTGACAAGGCATTTAGTGTAATACCCTAAAAATTTTAAATATATAAATTAATTATACATGTTTATGAATAAGTGAAGGAAATAGGAAAATAAATCAATAAATGGTTAAGGAAATTTTAGTGGGAAAAATGTGAAAAATCCATTCCTGGATTTGAATATTAAAATAAGTATTTTGTGGTCGTATTCATAATTACGACGTATTTATTGTTACGGCGGATATTTGTATTGATAAGTTAAAAAGACAAAAATGTCCATAGTTGGCTTAACGTAATTATACAAGGACATATTTTATCCTCATATATTATATCGTATTTTTTGATATATTTGGATACAACTCGACCTCATGAGTGTGCAAGCGCAAACCGTTTGTGAAACGGAATTATAACGAAAGAGTTATTAACGTTTGAAGTTAGGGATATTTTATAAATTTAATCTTCAATTTAGAAGGCTCCAGAAAATATGGAACAATGGGTCGTGCCACGTGTGTGGTTGGGATGAAGGGAAAGGAAGAGAAATGAGAGAGATGAATGGCTGAGATAAAAAGGAAAGAAGAGAAATGAGGGGGGGGGGAACTGCCCAATCAGAAGTGGGGAAAGGGAGGGGAAAGGAAAGAGGGAGAAAAAGGGGAAACTGGCCGACCCGTATACCTATCGGACCCGGTTTCGACCCATAATATTTCCCGGTGAAATTCGTCGATTTTTCGACGGATTGACAAGAATTACCACCACCAATCATTATTTTGTTACTCCCTTTTCAATTTTCCACCTAAAATCGACCTGATTTGGTCCTGTTTCACGACAAGGTGGGGTTGTGGGTGTTCCGAAGTCACGGCGTCGATTCAGTCATTTCTGAAACAAATTCCATCAACCACCATAACTAATAGACTCCCCTCAACCCTAAGAACAAAGCCCAAGCACTGGTTGGGGCGTCGGAACTATTCTGGAGTCGAATCAAGAACACCAAATTCAAGGGTTATCTGGAAAATATGAGTAAAATTGGGGCTTTTCCCGGCCGACTTGGACCTTGGCCCAGGCATGAAAGTTGTTCCTCTCATTGAACTCTACAACCTTGCAAAATTTGGTAATTTTTTGTTATAATTGAATTTTCCGGCGAATCGGAGCGGCCAACTACCATCCGCGGCGACACGTGGCCAGTGAGCCGATGTCGTCTTTTTAAGCTAAATTTTGATGTTTTGAAACCAAATTTGATAAGCATTTGGTGTGATTCACTTGTTTGAAGCTAGATGGTGATTGTTAGTCACTTGTAGAAATTTTGGAATTTGAATGAATTTGAATTGGTGAACTACGAGTGGCTTGATCCCTATTTAGGGTACGTAGGCAGTTAAACGAGAAGTTAGATGCAACCATAAAATAAACGAGGGTAATTAATCTAGTTTTGACCTCTTGTTGGGAATTAGAGTGGAGAGGAGAAATTTGGGCTAAATGAAAAATAATAAACGTATGTTCTTTATAGGTAAATTTAGTGGTAGACTTTTATAAGGAATTAAGGAATTTTAATTAGACAATAATGCATAATGGTAGCAAATCAAACAAGAGTTTGTTTCGGGCCTATCATCGGAACTATTTCCCAAAAATAAATATTTTGGGGCGGGGCGTTACATTTAGCAATCTTAGTATTCAAAACAAAAGTGGATCACACACCACTGGATACATGGGAAATTAGCCTTTCAAATTTAGAGATAAGAAGGGTGATTGTAAGGCTAATGATAGGCCTCAATATGCTGCCAAACCCTGGTTTAATAAGGAGAACACAAAAAGAGGCATGTAAAATCCATGGGAATATACACCGTGGTGAATGTAGATTCAAAGGGAAGGTTCTGCACTAAAAGTAAGTACTGAGGGCAACGTTCTAAAAAGCGCTAGGCGCTAGTCGGCTAGGCGGGGCCTAGGCAGATTTAGGTAAATTTATTGTGTATCGTGTAATGAAGTAGAGATTACATAAAGTATACGTATCCAACAAGCTTACAATTTGAAAACACATTAACCATGTAATCAATCTGAGTGTTTTTAGATAATACATGTATCCATCAAGTTTGCAATCAAAATGAATGTTCTTGGATAATACCTGTTTGTACCATACTTGACCAATCCCGAAACTACCGAGCACCGGCCAACGCTATACTGTCAAGGACCCAGAAGAGTTCCCCTCCGACCAGGAGGCCAATCACTACTCGACACGTGTCAAGATTAGAAGCCAATCAGAGCGCAGCACGTGTCAACATCAAGAACCAATCATAACATGACACATGTCAATGTGACAAAGCTACAAGTTTTTCTATAAATAGGGGTCATCCCCCCACAATATTGCCTAATGCCATTTGTGTTAAATCATTCACAAGAACTCACTAAATTGAGAGCTTGATCCTTTGTACTTGTGTAAGCCCTTCACTACTAATAAGAACTCCTCTACTCCGTGGACGTAGCCAATCTGGGTGAACCACGTACATCCTGTGTTTGCTTTCTCTGTCTCTATTCATTTACGTACTTATCCTCACTAGTGACCGAAAGCAACCAAGCGAAGGTCACAAAACCTGACACTTTCTGTTGTACCAAAGTCTTCGCTGATTTTGTGCATCAACATTTGGCGCCGTCTGTGGGAACGACACTTATTCCTACTCTCTTCAGCTGTGTCAAGCTGGTTTCTATCATTCGTACACTTTCTTTTGACCAGGCATCCCTCTCCAACATGGGAAGCGAAGGAAGCCACAGCACACAGAATGACACCCCCCTTGCACATAGTGCGAAGCAACGAAAGAAGGAAGGAAAACGAGTTATTCTTCAAGCTAAAGTCGATGAGTTGGAAGCTCAGAACAACAAGATAGCAATGAGGAATGAGGTCCTCCAGGAGCAATATGAGAAGCTCTTCGAGACACTCCACGAAGCTAGGCAAGCTCAGACACGCGAGCTTGTTGCCCCCGTGGAAGTCAACCATCAACTGGGTGCCCTCCAACATGGAGGGTCACATGCATTCGACATAGATATCCCTGATAGGGAACAGATTACCCCTCGACTTGATAATCAACATGAGGCTTCTCTTAACCCAGTTGCTTCGACCCGAACCATGAGAAGTGGAGGGAGACACCTCTTTGCTGAAGGGGCAGAAGGATCGAAAGCCGTCTTTCGCGATTGTCGGGATTTCCTGAAGCAACGTCGAGAGAATTCCATCCATATAAGCTCAAAGATCAATGACCCAAGGATTTCTGAGAGACTCGGTCCCCTGCCACGGCCCGAAGCCGGCCACCAATTTGGGGAAGGGGCAACAAGTCCTAGAGAGACATGAGGGTACAGGGGGACTCAGAGGTGTTCCGACAGACATACCCTGGAAGCCAGTACAACGAGTCCAGGGAAAAATCACATGCCCTTGATCAAACCTTCCTAATTCCAAGAGGAGATGGAGATTTACGAAAGAAAGCTCCAGTGGCACATAACTCCGCTCAGGACCCCCTTGTCCTACAACTTCTTGAGGAAGTAAACAAGTTGAAGGCTGAACGTCAGGCTGAAATACCTGACTGGAACCAACCCAGGCCTGGCCCTCTTACAAGGAGGATCCTCAACACCCCCCTTCAAGCAAAGACAAAGCAAAAGCTTGGCTTGCAACTTTATACTGGAAAAGAGGACCCGATTGAGCACCTTAACCTCTTTGAGTCCACCATGGCATACCGGATGCACACCGACAAAGAGCGATGTCTTCTCTTCCCCTCCACCCTCTCTGGTGGAACTCTAAATTGGTATTGTCGTCTTACACCTGAGACGGTAGACTCATTTGAGGAATTGCGGAAACTATTTGTTTCCCAACACATTTTCCAAACCGATCGCTTGCACTCTGCAGATGACTTGTACACTATCCGCCAGAAGCCAGACGAGTCATTACGTATGTATGCTGGCCGCTTCAGCCATGAATACTCCCGGTGTGCCGAGGCAGACGACAAGACTGCCCTCAAAGCCTTCACGGCAGGCCTACGTGATTGTTTCTTTAAATACATGATCAATGCCAATACTTGGAAGACTTACTCTGAGGTGATGGCGCAGGCTTTTAACCATGCCTCCGCCGAGGCAAAGACATATCAGGAGAAACCCCCTACAACCATCCTTTATCAACAAGTGGGAGGTGGAAGCCAGACTCACCTAAATGAGAAGACCTCGACTTTCCAAACAGCAGTGGC